TAAACCAGCAAAGGACCAGCTTAAACCAGCATCCCAGCGTCAAAACATACCTAACCAGCATATGCTGTTTTTTTCAACAAGTGCATAACTAGATCATGGTGTGAAATGATTTACAACATCATACAAACCTCACACAATGACATGACTATGTTGCAGAATTAGTCGTTGTTTTTCTCATTTACACAAGATGGCAGTAGGCTATTGCTGCTTTGAGCAAACCCTTCCTCTACAGTAGCCTACATCAGCAGGACGCACTATTGATATCTACGGTATAATTAAAATAAGATATTTCTTTGTAGTTTGTTTCATCCCATTGATGTTTCATATATTTATTTCATGTAAGAGGAAATGAATAAAGTAGGCTATATGAAGGGAAGATATATGAAGCATATGACTAAATTAAAAGAACATGAATATAATAATGCATTCCCCCCCCCGCCCCGTAATTCGGATTGTTATGAGTACGGACTGCTACCTAAAGATTATCTTATGGTTCTAGAAATAACACGTGATTGTTTTATTGGGCATACAAAATGGCAGTTTAACAGCATCTGTTTTATAGGCAAAGCAGAGGCCCACCTGTTGTGCCTTCTCATGTTTAAAAAGATGCATCATGGGGTAGAGTTTTCTCATCAAATGCGTGCAAGTATTTCTTGACATCCAATCTTATTTCTTGAATAAGGAGTATTTGACCTAAAGAAAAGAAGAAAGATTCAATTTTTTAGAAGAAAATGCCCATTTTGTTCGTGGTTACTTCTGGCGATATTCTTGAGGTAGTGTGTGTGTGTGTTTAATTTCTTTTCGTGTCTTAACGCTGCGACTGATTAATACCGCAGCGCGCATGCGCTTAAGTTTTGTTTATAATATTGTTTAGAGCAATGCAAAATTATTCGAATTTCGAAGTTTGCTTGTAACCAGTAGGAAAATTTCTACACTGAGAGCTACAGTGTAGGAATTTTCAGCAAAAAACAAATGACAAAAAATCTAATAACAAAAAACTAAATCCTAGTAAAAAAATAAATATACTAAAATGTATTTGAAATACATTTATTTCATGCTAAGTATATTACAAATACATTTACATATTTATGCACTTAATAAAAATACACTGCAATTGTACATTTAAAGTCTGCTAATTGGAAGAACGAATTTTGTACTTAATGCATGTTAACTGTGCGGAAGTAGTGCTGAAGTCCAACTAAAGATATACTGAAGTATATTTGATTGTGCTAAAGTGGAACTATTGCAACTTGCAAGCAGCCTATACTTCAGGTAAACTTTAAATATCTTGCATTTAAGACTGATATCATTCAAAGATCATATAATCCTCATCAATAATGACATTAAAAGACATTTTAGGCTTAATATTAAGAAATGTGCACAAGTTATACTCCAAATAAAGTTTAATTATAATTTTTATTTCAGTATAAAAATATCATAATATAATATCAGTTGTCTCAAGCGATATGTCAATAAATATGTCAATAGATTTGAACTGTACTTAGTATGAAATAAATGTTTTTTAAATATATTACTTTTTACTAAGCCATCTACAGGTTTTGATTCCACACAAGTATTCATTCCTGTCTGCTTCACATGGAGATGTTTATCATAACATGACAGAAACGTGATGTTTCCCTGAGAGAAAAGTAAATCACACACACATCCAGAGG